TTGCTTCTCGTAAGAAGAAAACGCTTAGGAGTCCTATAAGAATTGACATATGTAATTCGAATAGGCAAATCTTCTAGAGATTTCCCAGCTCCTTCGGAGTGTGCTTTCTGAATCCCCGGATATTTTATTGACTATTTTATAACTTTCTCATGTGTATTTTGAAATTTGAAGCTAATCAATAATATTTTAGCAATAAAACTGTATTGATTGTTTCCAGTTTTCACAGCAGTATATATAAATATATAATTATGTATAATCATATGTAATCATTTATATATTACCTATGCAAAATTTCCCTGATAGCAAAGTGGAGACAGATTTTGAACAGAGTCTGCTACCAATTTCTGATTGCAGAAAGGCAACAAATTGTGCACAGAGTTTGTACCAGATATTGTCAGCAAACTGCTGTCAAAAATATAACAAAGGCTGCTGACATACTATGCTAGGAAATTGGTGATAGTAACCGAACAGAGGCTGCTGACATAACCTGATGGCAAATTGGCAGCAAAAACCGAGCAAGACCTGTTATTTTTATTTACGGCATCGCTATGAGATGGACTTGTTTCTCGTAAGAAGAAATTGTCCTGAAGTCCTATAAGAATTGGTATATGTAAATCGAATAGGCAAATCTAGAGATCCCAAGCTCCTTCAGAGTGTGCTTTCTGAATCTCCGAATATTTTTTTGACTATTTTGTAACTTTCTCATGTGTATTTTTGAAATGTGAAGCTAATCAATAATATTTTAGTAATAAAATTGTATTTCCACATTTGTTGTTAGTGATTGTTTCCAGTTTTCACACCAGTATGTATAAATAATATATAATTATGTATATATGTACGCAAAATTTCTTATAAAATCAGGTCGATTTAAATGAAAATGAGATCTTGCTCAGTTTTGCTGCCAATCTGCCATTAGGTTATGTCAGCAGGCTCTGCTCGGTTTCTGCTCGCAATTTGCTATCAGATTTTATCAGCAGGCTTTGCTCGGTTTTTACCAGCAATCTGCTGGCAAAACATGTCAGCAGGCTTTGTCGACAAATCCATAGCCAAATGTGAACACAGATGGCTATGGTTTTGTAATCAAAATTTAATCGAGTTTGCTACCAATTTACGTGCAAATTGCTAATAGCGAATTTGGTCACTCGCACTACACTAGATCAGTGCATACTATAGCTGCTTTATATGACATTAGTAAAGTTAAATATAAAAGTATATAAATATTTTAAACAACACATTATTTAACAAAATATATGTGTATCATTTTATTGCCAAAGTTGATTATATTGTATCACTGCATTGAGATATTTTATATAAAGCAGCTTTTAATATGCATTGATCCAATGTAGTGCGAGAGATCGAATTCACCATAACATTTTATTAGGGTATAGACTATAAAGATTCTAACAACGAATATTGTTTTCAATTCATGTAAATATAATATTCTTGAAGTATATGGATACATATATACATATATTGTATGTAATATATATAATATATGTAATACATAATATAATATATATACATAAATATATATTGTATACATATATGACGTTATGTATCATTTTATTAAAATTAAAGTAAGTTAATAATTTTTAAAATCATGGTAAATTAAATAAGATATAAAATGAATAAGAATTAAATATTGGCACAAAAATTATTGTATATTAAAAGCTGCTTTATATAAAGTATCTCAATGCAGTGATATAATATAATCAACTTTGGCAATAAAATGATACACATATTTTGTTAAATAATGTGTCGTTTAAAATATTTATATACTTTTATATTTAACTTTACTAATTTAGCTAACACTTAAATGTTTAATGTATATATGTATGTACACCCAAAGACTTCGATTCTTTTCCTCGAAAATTTTCACAAATAGAAATAATCACTTTTCTACATTAATGCTCATAGTCGGTGTGCGATTAACGACACGACTAAACCTTACGTCCGCTTACAACTAAATTTGACGTAAAGACGAAATAATCTAGGGGTCAATTCTGTATCTTCAGTCAAGGTGAAAATTACAAAAGTGAGCAAATTTACTAAGTGTTGACCAAGCAAATTATCAGTATTCTAGTAAATTCGCTCACTTTTGTAATTTTCAACTCGTTTTATGATGCAGAATCGATCCCCTGAATTTTGGGAAGTTTAAAAAAGTAATCGAGGGAAAAAATCGAAGTCCTTGGGTGTACTTATATGAGTGTATGTGTATACATACAGGCGCACGCACAACACACACACACATTCACATGTATGCTTATACACGTATACATATATATTAGTTGATAACTTAATTTCCACCGCTCACCTAGATAATAAACCTATTTTCCGCCGCTCACATTAGATGGCTCCAGTTGCAAATTTAGTGAAGTTTAAACATTTGTCAGTAAATTTCAATGCGTAAAGATTGATTTTTGTGAAGGCAAATATATTTTTTAAATCGATTAAAAATGGAACGTAATAAGTTGTTCTTTCGACATGTACACTCACCGACTAAAAGGTTGCAACAGATTTTTTTCTATGGTTTTTGGAATGCAGTTTACTCACCGAGCGATTGGTTTTTACTTATGAATCCGTAATGGCGCGGTCTCTCCCATGGTGCATAATTGGCGCAATGCGGAATTGGCGGAACGTTCGTAATTGGTCGTGGGTTTATTTCGCCGATTCCGTTCCGCTAAAATGTTTTTTCCCATTGAACAGAATTTGCGGAATGCGCAATTAGCTCTGACCAATTGCAAGAATCTTCCCGTAGATCACTTTCATTAGATCTACCAGAATAGCGTTTGTCATTGGCTCGCATTGTTGCGCATTCACAAGTTCCGCTTAATAGGACATAGGAAAATAAATTTCTGCAGATCGGAAATCACACATATATATGATAGAGACATTGCCAACTTCGATTTGTGTATCCATTTTGATTGTTTTGATTTTGATTTAAATTTTCGCCTTTCTATATACTATTTATACGACATTCATATTCTAACCATATTGACTTCTGTATTTATCTGGAGATTTAATTAATTATCTTCAGGGTTATGTTCAGATTATCACTCGAGTGCCATCAAAGACATAGAGAATGAACTGCGCGATCCATGTGTCAAAATGGTCGATAGGGATGAGAGAGAGGGACCGTGGCAGACGGCCATTTCTATCTCTTTCCATTCAATGATGTAATGGGAGAGAGAATGAGAGGGAGATGGCCGTCTCCCACGGTCCCTCTCTCTCATTATTGTCGACTACATTTGATACTTACAGCGTTTTCGGCCAGGCCAGGTTTGCACCAACCTGGGTTGGATTAATGGTGTTTTGTGCTCTCCTATTGGTAGAGCGGGTGACATCAACCAATAGGAAAGATTAATCCAACCAAGGTTGGTGCAAACCCGATCGGGCCGAAAACGCTATTAGATACGGATCCATTCTCTATGGCCCGTATTCAGAACGCGCTTACAACAATGTTAGCACACTAACATACTATACTTTACGTCACGTATATTATAGAATTTCAGAGATAAAATTTATCGATAAAAGCGCGTTCTGAATACGGGCCTATGTCTCTGAGTGTCACCCAGGTATCACTCCAATCTTGTTATTTATCGAACGTTAAATAAGGATGATATGACACCCGGAGAACACCCAGGTGGGAATCCGACACATCTTAGCTTCTTGATTAATCATGCGTTTGTATAGAAGACACTTTTCTCCGTTTAAATCGGGTTAACAAGGTAATTTTTTATAAGGGCATGCATGTATATGCACACGCACACACGCATGCATCGGCGGAATCCGTAAAAGAAATAAATTTGTACAATAGAAAACGGCGGAATCGACGGAATGAAGCCACGACCAATTACGAACGTTCCACCAATTCCGTACCGCGCCATAAGTAATGGTACGTTTCCACTGAGCGCG